TAGCAACATAGAAAATCTTCAGATACAGGCAGAGGACATCTGGAATTTAGAAAAAAGTTTAGGTCTCGACCAGGTTACCGTAGAGTTGATTCCGAGAGAGCAAAATTGGCAAGCAGATGGGGAAAGTAGACAGATAGACTATGACAGTTGGGGAATAAATCCCACAACAGCCTTAAGAGTACAGAGTAGACTTTTATGCTGTGAAATAGACATGTTTGCAGACAACAGAAACAATATCTGTAGAAGATTCTTTTCCAAAAACTGGTGCCCATTCACGTCAGGGATCGATGCTTTTCAGTCAGCAAGTGCTTGGTCAGGACATCCTCTGTGGTTAGTTCCTCCTCCTAATTTGATTGCCGAAACAATTCCAGTCCTTCGGTATATTAGGTTGCCCGTTCTGGCCATCACAGGCCTACTTCCTTGTTTTAAAACCTGACGGAATGAAATGGGCCGAATTTGTGAGAGATGGAATTCTTTTTCCTGTGGTTTCCAAAATATTCTCTCCTTTTGCACTTTCAACGGTATTCAACAGCCAATTTTCCAAAACTCGGTTTGTGTTTCTTGCTATTGATTTTAGAACTAACCCAATACCTCAGAAAATACTACCCTTTTAACTGTCCGCCGGCGTTTAAGGCCCACGAAATGCTCTTCTCCGTTGTCGAAAAGCAATTTATACAGTAGTGACGTAGGAACGGATGCATAAGTGCTGCTTTTCGATATAGGGAAGGCATTTCGTCATCGCAGATATTGTCTCGATACAATATCCCCTGAGGACCAGATATTTCGTCATGTCCTCAGGTAGCTGCGATGACTACGAGGTCACGAGGACAACGCTATATAAGATGTGAGAGAGCCATCAGTCCAGGTTCCAATTCTCTCAACGAGTTGAGCCCCACCCACCCGACCCTAGTCTTTTTTTCAGGACCACTGTGGAGGGAAGCTGGAACACTGTGTGAGACTGCTATCCAGTGCAAACTTCCGCACCTAGCAGATGCCATCAGATATTCGCTCAACAATCACCGATCTAATGCGACGTTCAAAGCGTACTCGCAATGCTGTAAGAAGTTCGTACAATGGTGGGGAGCGGGACGAGTTAAGGACATACCCATTCCGAAGGCGACGAACCTATATTTGGCTTACTGTGTTGAAAAAGGACAACATAGCTCCTTACCGATGGTCTCGGCAGCCTTAAGTTCCTTCCTGGGCAAACAGAAAGATATGGATAAAGAGTTAGAAAAGTCTTTATTAGAGAGTGCAGTGAGGAGCAGGGTACCAGTCCACCACCGGACCAAAATCAGCACGACAGATTTTAATAGTTTAGTACATTTAGGAGCACTGTCTTCAGATCCCAAAGCATTTTCCATGGTGGCCCTGGCTATTCTGCTCTTCAGGGGTTTCCTGAAAATTAGTGAAGCTAGAAACCTCGAAGTAGTTGAGCTCTCCGTGGACAGTAATACATATTCAGTGTTTATTCGGAAATCTAAGACAGACCAGGCAAGGAGGGGGGCCACCGTTTCGTTCAAGATAAGAGGAGATTTAGAGGAACATACAGTGATTCAAAAACAAATGGAATACGCGACAAAAATTAACAGCACACATCTTTTTCCATCAAAGTCAACAACCCTGCCCCTCACCCAATCTACTATTTCCAAAAGATTACAACAATTGTTTATTATTGCAGGTATAGGACACAAGAATTACACTACCCATAGTTTTAGGGGGGGCAGCTTCCGCAGCATTAGAGCAGGGGTTCGACAGTGCCCAGGTAATGCAAATGGGAAGATAGAGGTCCCACAAAACATTTCAGGCCTATATCCGTACTACGACCGTTGAACTGGATCTCCACGAGTAAAACTACTGCTATATCATCACACACACACACTCCATAAGTTTTTCACGTAAAATCCTGTTGAGTTGTTCTTTTTGTACACATGTTCAGATTCATTGCTTAAAGTGAAATCTACAAGATGTATAGATCATATCCATGCAGTTCCGTCTTTAAATGAGAGTAACGTAGCACAATTGTTGTATCACGTTCGCACAATTCTGTAGTGCTGATTTGTATGTATATGTATCTATTAATGATACATAAGCCGCATATTATGAGACAATAAACCTTCCTACCATGAAGTACTCTTCTCCGTTGTCGAAAAGCAATTTATACAGTAGTGACGTAGGAACGGATGTATAAATATCTTTTGAATCTGCAAAACCCCTTCTTGAGTTACGATGTTAAAATAATCACCATCAAGTAGCTAGGCATTAATCTTTTAAGGAGGGTTGTTCATTATGCTGAACCAACCTTCCCATAACCACGTCTTGATTGTGATTTCGTTCCGTGAAGTTGATAAATATAGTATGGTTCCACACCCTGAAGAAAAAAATTACCAGCACAGGCGAATTCATCGACTCGGAGCATTTGGTATTTCGCCGTTAAGAAGTTTACAATAAGATACACGATGATTGCTTATAGCACGTCTGGTTAACCATCTCATGTATAGAGAACCGTGAGGATTCCGAAACAATCAACCCCCTTCAGATACTCTCGGAATTAGTTCACAGGAATAAGCATATTGCATGCCTAAAAGTTTTTGAAAGAACCACTTCCGCACCGTAGTACCACCTCGGACATCTCACGAGACATGATGCGAATCACCAACCAGGCAGTTGCTAAGACCCAACTTTAGAATGTTAATAACACATCTACCTCCCTCTTCACTGCTGCACTTTTATTATAGCTGGAAGCTAGAAGCACAACAGTATAGGGCTCAATATCATACTCGAACACATCCGTATATAGAGAAATCGTATAAGACGGGAACACAAATCAAAATAGCGGAGTATGCGATTCGAATGCCCAAACGTACTTGTAGCCATGCATAATTATTCAAGCTCATTAGGCATGAACAAGCACGAATGTGACCTCAGTACTACACTATCCAATCCAACAAAAACTAAGATTTACTTCTATACATTTGAAATGAGTTTTAAAACAAATCAGATCACATGTGCTCAATTAGCACCTTCTCCTTGTTCTCCTGCATCTTGATCATCAGCAGCAGCATCCGAGGTCCACAAGGTTAGATTATCCCTCAAAAGCTGCATGATGAGAGTGGAATCCTTGTACGAATCTTCATTCAAGGTATCGAGCTCAGCAATAGCATCATCAAATGCCTAAACACAAAACATACCTTCAAATAACGCGACTCTCATGAAAGTAATACACCTGCTTTGCTAGTTGGCAAGCTCTATCAGGACTTGACGCAACTTCATAGAAATACACAGAATAGTTCAAAGCAAGACCAAGACGAACTGGATGTGTTGTCGTCAAATTCACTTTAGCAATCTCGAGGGCTTCTGCATAGCTGCTCTGACCGCTACTTGCCACTGCTAGAATCGAAAAATCACCTGCTTAGCCAATTGGCAAGCCTTATCGGGTGCGTTCAAAATCTCGTAGTAGAACACCGAGAAATTGAGGGCGAGGCCAAGGCGGATGGGGTGAGTGGGCTGCATCTTGTCCTTGGCGATATCAAAAGCTTCCTGGTAAGACTGCTGCGACTTGTCGACAACCGCTGCAATCACAAGAATAACGACAAATCTATCCAAGGACAGCGCTCAACTGTGACATCCTTACTGTTCAAAAACAGTTTCCCAATCGCGGCCATCCGCCAAAGCCCTTCCTCTTTCCAAATTTAGATCAGGCTGCCACATGTTAGAGCACGAGGTGGAAATGTAGTTGAGGGAGGGGGAGCCACCCTCATTCGTAAACAGTGCGCAGAGCGCAGAGGAGTAGCAGCCTTTACTGGCTACCCCCCCCCCCCCCCCCCCATTTCAACTACATTTTCACCGAGCACGACATCAGCTTTATCAGAAAACCTATTAGAAACTTACAGCTACGGTCTTCGCCTGACGCAACCTCCGCAAGGTACCTGTAGTAGTCACCCTTCATTTTAAGGTAGAACACTTTAGACTCAGGATTGCCGGCCTTCGGTATGAGAAATTTGTCGAGCAGGTTCTGTAGCGTGAGCAATTTCGATCCACACAACGAACATCACGATGAACTTACGAAAAAGCAAAGCTCACCAAAACGTCCTGGCAAATGTCTCGTAGTTCCTTTTCAACTTTCTCGCGATATTCCTTGGCCATTTGTTGCTTCTTCTCAGAGCCTTCCGTCTTCTGCTCAATCGATGAGATCACGCGCCAACTCGAACGACGCGCTCCAACGACATTCTTGTAGGCAACGGAAAGAAGATTGCGTTCCTCATTCGAAAGTTCAGCCCCCAGTTCAGTCACCTTTTTCATAGATTGGGCCATATCGTCATACCTTTCGGCCTAAAAAACTGTGGAATGACGAGAACATGCTGCAGAACCCACTCAAGTCAACTCACCTGCTCAGCGAGCTTCGCTCTTTGCACAAGCTCATCCTTATTGTCAGCCATGAAGTTATTCAGAAGTTAGGTTGCTTACTGAAGGACAAAAAATCGGGAACAAAAATTACGATTAATGTTGGCGAGACGGCACCACACGAACCAGACAACTACCACAACAAGAGCAATCTCGTTAAGCGCAGACGTGGCGCATGAACATGTTAGACTGACACAGCCATGCCAACGCTCGAAAAGCAACGCCACGGTGGGAGGGTACTGTTACGTATCACAATGAGTGTGCACACTACGAATCAAATTAATCTACAGTAGACTAGAAAAAAACCAGTCTTACTAAAAACAAATAGGCGTGATCGATCAGTGCTCCCTGCGAGTACCAAGAAGCATTGGCAAAGAATGCAAGTGCACGACTTGATGGCTTCGGTTGAGTATAGGGGTGCATCTTCTTGTTCTTCCCGCCTATTCTAGGCCGACTGATCGAGGGTTCTACGCAGGTGAGAAAGAGCGCGCACCTCATTAGTGGCATTGATATCTAATGGAAATCATGAGAAAAAAAAAATTCATCAAAATCTCTGTGCAGATTCAATTTCCCGTCAGATTAGCATTACGGGCGCAATATAGACTAGCGTACTCAAGATTAGTTTGCGGATAGTTAAAAGGGACATCTCAAAGGAGATCTGTCCAGCTTGTGCTTGAATCGATGGGTACCCATCTGACCGCTCGCACGTAAACAAGTCGCAGCACGAGTGATTTGCAGCTTGAGCACGGCAGGGCATAGCTTGTAAAGAGGCAGCTCTCTTCCCGACACTCTTTTAACATTATCCTGCTTCTAAATATTGGGAGAATGTAGTGAATCCTATTGGTCCGCTGCACACTGCAAGTATCGCTTGTTATTAGGTGCATACATTCATAATGTATATGATGAAGTGATTTTTCAGAGTTTTGACCTTCTTGTTGTTAATCGAAGTTGTTCGAGGAGATGCAGTGAGGAAAATACGAGAACGGGCTCGCTCATTAACATGGTGTATTCAAGGGTGATGTAATACGAAATCTTAGCACATAAGAAGCACTTTCCTTCATAGTGGAAATCAAATGATCCTGAGCATTTTGACATGGTTTAAAGGGGCCACTCGGAACGCAGTACGTACTTCAGGAGTGTATTGTACGCTGTTTTCCAAAGAGCTTTTTGAAATTGCAGAACGATTCATGGGATGGAAATATGAGGGTTTCAGTTAAGGCTACCTTTTGACGGGCATTTGAAGAGGATGACCTCACTGTTGTTTTGCACAAGGGCAGCTGACTGTTTTGGAAGAGGTTTCACTTCTTTCTTGGCTTCTTGACTGGGTAACGGCTCGGTTTTCGTATAGATGCAAATTTCATTTTGGCCAAAAATTTTTTACATTGAATTAGAACCTCCCCTCTTCTATAATGGAGTCCATGGTGTTCCTTTCACTTGAAATCCTCTGCCTTAGCTTGTAACATTCTAATGTTGCTCGACTGTTGTAGAACCTTATTTCAGAGCTAAGTGTATTTGATAAACATATGGTAGGGCGCTGGTTACTGGAGCCCATTCCTGGATTGTTCTGTTATATTCACACTTTTTTTTTACTTCCTAAATTGGTTCGTGAGTGACAAGACGGATTTAATCGTCCCGTGAATGAGTGACACAGGAACCCGAACACACGCTGAAGCGCCTCCAAACACTCGTCCCATATACGACGCAAAGCAAAGGTACCCTGGGTGAAGGCCACGGTTGTGGATGGTGAGGTACAGCGATTCAAGGTTTCGCACGTTATGCGACGTTGAAATCCTCTAATCATGAGTGCATGCAATTCTATGAGCTGTGACGATTTTTTCAAGGTCATTGCTCTATTGCTATAATTCCACTCTATGTCACTGTGTGACTCGCACGCTTCACGCATTGCTACATTAACTCGTATTCCTACGATTGTAAATACAATAAATATGTACAGTATGCGCTAAAAGCTAACAACCGGAGTAGGCAACCTATGCCTACAATTAGTTCCAGCTGCGGGTAAAGATTGGCGACAACGTCTGCCTTCGACGGTGTCGTCGTGCTCGTTATTATGGTATGATTTTAAGACACAGCTATTGGTCCTACATATCTCCTCGACGACAATCTTTGAACGCATTCATGGAAAGCAGCGATCGTGCTGAGTTCATCCACGTAACGAAAGGATCGCGTCCAATCAGGCTATCCTCGCACCTAGGCGCGAAGTGACCTTAATTAAGTGCGAAGAATTCATGGTAATCGTACTGCCTGCACATCGTTATAAACGGGTTAAAACTTATCAACTATCGAGAATAATGACAACAAAAAAGGAGGTTTCCTGTAGAAATTTTTTGACAGGAAAATGTTCCAGTTCACTGGTTTGGAAGTTTTATTTCCGTGAATAATAGGTAGATCCAATATATTTCTAACCAGAGTCCCTTTAAAATGGGAAAAGATCATTCACTGAGTAATTAGAAGACCAAATAGAGCCTAAACCATGTATGTAAAAAACTCAGATAGTTTTGCTCAATACGAGTCTGGAAATCATTAGGTGAAACCTCTGAATTTAAACCGACTTGCTCTTTGCAGTCTAATATTAAACATTGCATCGTTTCTGTAAAGGTCGACTGATATCACAGATGGGTGGAAATCCGAAAAACCAGCGAACTAAACCACTTTTTCCCATTTTCCAGTAACTATTAGCTTGATGCTTAAGTTTTGCCCCCGTGTTTGATCCTTCCGTACTTCGTTTGCATGGATGTTGGTATTTCTTCATCACGTGTACGTGACGTGTGCATGATACTCTTTCATCACGCTAGCTATCACTTACCCACCCTGCATATGCAGGCCACAATCACCACTGTGAAGAGTGTACCTGCGCCACAGCTGGAAAGCAAGGGGCAGGCCACAATCACCACTGTGAAGAGTGTACCTGCGCCACAGCTGGAAAGCAAGGGAAGCTTATACCAAGCTAAAGGAAACATGCGGCGAGGAAGTCATTTCTCACCGCACATGTAAGACATGGTTCGCCTAATTCAAGAATGGAGATTTTTCTCTCGAAGATGCTCTGAGGTCGGGTCGGCCGATGGGGTGGGACTTGAAAGTACTACGTTCCACGCGGAGGAGGACCCGTACCTAACCATCAGGGGAATGGCGACCATGTTCGGCTATAATCAATCGACGATTGTACGTGGACTGGAACAGCTCGGCAAGGTAGCAAAGCTTGGTCGATGGGCCCCACATAAACTGCCCGCTACGACCTCTCGAGGAAGGTGGCCACTTGCACTCCTCTCCTCATATCGTCGTCTGAATCGACGATCCCCGTCCCTCGTCGCTCTCTAACTGTCTGAGACGACGTGGGACGCCATCTATGATTAGGGGGGTCAAGCGGGCGGGGCCACCAAAAAGCGTGGTCCCCACTCTTCCGCAAAACAACGACAAGAGACGTTGGTTTAACCATTTAGTTTAGACCTTTCAGCCTTACATTTATATTTGCGTTTACATTCGCACTTTCATTCACATTCGTCTTATTGTGCCATTGATTTCTTTGTTGTGAATTACTCATAAAACTAATTACACACAAAACCACTGAACCATCTCGCACAGTTTTGGTGCATCGGTGGTTCAGTGGTAGAATGCTCGCCTGCCACGCGGGCGGCCCGGGTTCGATTCCCGGCCGATGTCGTCGTCTATGGCGACGATCCCCATAACTATGTATATCGTCGTCTCACT